TATTTATCTCTATAATTGTAACTATAGTTATCAATATTATTATAATTAATCCGTAAAATAATTACAATAGTAATAATAATATTAATAATAATAATAATAATTATAACAAAAATAATAATTATAATCATAATTTATAATTATAATATAATTATAAGTATAATTATATTAACAGTAATTATAATATTACTCCGTATAATATAATAATAGTAATATAAATACAATTAATATTATTATAAAGATATTATTATATTAATATTATTATTACAATAATATAATAATAATATGATTATTGTTATTATAATACGTATTATATTATTATAATATTATATTATAATTATATTTATAATCATAATTGTAATTATGATTGTAATTATAATTATAATTATTATTATAATTAATTATAATTATAATTAATTATACTTATAATTATAATAATTATAATTGATTATACTTATAATTATAAGAATTATAATATAATATTATAATAATATTAATCATATTATTATAATTATTATATTGTAATAATAATAATAATAATAATAATAATAATAATAATAATAATAATAATAATAATAATAATAATAATAATAATAATAATAATAATAATAATAATAATAATAATAATAATAATAATAATAATAATAATAATAATAATAATAATAATAATAATAATAATAATAATAATAATAATAATAATAATAATAATAATAATAATAATAATAATAATAATAATAATAATAATAATAATAATAATAATAATAATAATAATAATAATAATAATAATAATAATAATAATAATAATAATAATAATAATAATAATAATAATAATAATAATAATAATAATAATAATAATAATAATAATAATAATAATAATAATAATAATAATAATAATAATAATAATAATAATAATAATAATAATAATAATAATAATAATAATAATAATAATAATAATAATAATAATAATAATAATAATAATAATAATAATAATAATAATAATAATAATAATAATAATAATAATAATAATAATAATAATAATAATAATAATAATAATAATAATAATAATAATAATAATAATAATAATAATAATAATAATAATAATAATAATAATAATAATAATAATAATAATAATAATAATAATAATAATAATAATAATAATAATAATAATAATAATAATAATAATAATAATAATAATAATAATAATAATAATAATAATAATAATAATAATAATAATAATAATAATAATAATAATAATAATAATAATAATAATAATAAAAGTGAAAACTTTTCTGATCTGATCTGATCTGAATGTTTCTGATCTGATCTGAATGTTTCTGATCTGGTCTGATCTGATCTGAATCTTTCTGATCTGATCTGAATCTTTCTGATCTGATCTGAATCTTTCTGATCTGATCTGATCTGATCTGAATCTTTCTGATCTGATCTGATCTGATCTGAATAAAATAAGAATAAGCAATAAGTAATAAGAATAAGACGAACAGAACAGCACCTAAATAGGCTTAAAAAATAGGCTATATAAAGTTAATAGACTCTATTTTGTTTTATTAAGCACATAACACTTTGGTATATGATATAAAGCCCGTAGAAATATGAAATACCATTTGAGACCTTAAACCTAAATTAAATTTTCCAGTTTATGATTTGATATATATAAACCGTCCATAGCCTGATAGAGAGATAGCTCATGCCTCTCTGCCCCAATTGCGAAGTACTCCATAATAGTTTTCAAATGAAAAATAAGTCTGAGTCGTCCGTTCATGTTTTACATAAGTACATATCAGTTTATCCATTGAATGCGTGTTTCGTGAAGGGAAGGAAACCACTCGTAGTGGTGAAAAATGATGAAAATAATTGATGAGTAGTACTCTCAACCGTGATAGCGTGCTTTAGCAAGAATTTTAAATTGATTTTGGTTCATATGTTTAGTGCTCAAATAATGCTAACTACTGGTTATTGCAATCCTTAACATGATCAAACTATCGATAGCGAATAGCGCCATACTCAATGGGAATCGCAAATTTTGCGGGATGGGTACCAGAAGGAAATCGCATATATTAAAAGGTTATATCAGTCATAATATATTGACGACGTTTGATAAAAGCTATGCGTTTAATTTTTATAAATGTATGACATTAATTTGACGGTGTATATTTAAAGGTGTATGTACACTTAAATTTCTCTTAAAAAATTAATTATATACCACACTTAATCCCAACTCCAAAACAGAACAAAATGAAAAACTTTAGTTCCCGTGTGCAACTCCAATAATAACCCAACAGATACTTTGTATAAAAATAATTACATATAAAAAATTCAATTAATTTTCTAATGTGCAAAGAGCGCACATATATACATATATATATATATATATTAAAGGAAGAAAGAATTGATTTCAGAGAAGCAATACTCTTCTATCTCATTCACAAAGAAAGAAACATGAATATATACAATTTTGTGTCAATCTAAGAAAGGCAACTGCTTTTCCTATTTATTCTCTATATTATAAATACATTAGATAAAATAGGAAGTGATATATACACAATAAATATAGTGTAGCCTAAAAATATAGGTGAATATTCGTACCCCCGTTGGAGTGGTCGGAGTGTGAACGCCCAACTTGGACATGAGTAAATAAAATTGATGAACACCAAGGGGTTTAGTGAATATGTCTGCAAGTTGAAAGGATGTTGAAAGATGTTGAGTGGAAATAACACCATTGTGAATGAGATCGCGCACAAAATTACAATCTATCTGTTTTGTGCGTTCATGGAAGACTGGATTAGATGCAATATGATCGAAGTGCTGCTTGATTATCACAAAAAACATCCATGGGCCAAAAATGTGAGATACCAAGAGAGCATAGAAGACTTTTAAGCCAAAAGTTCACACCCAACAGTTGTCATAGATCTATATTCTGCTTCAGCGGAAGATCGGGAAATAGTGGGTTGCTTCTTGGTCTTTTAGGATATTGAAGATTCACCTAACATGACAATGTAACCAGTTAGAGAACGACGGCTAATAAGGCGGGCTTCCCAATCTGAATCATAATACCCCTGTAGATGTAGGTCAGAGTTTGCGCGAAGTAAGATGTCTTGCCCCTTGTTACTCTTAAGATATCGAAGAACACGAAGTACAACTTCCCAATGTTCTATGCGGGGGGCGGGGGGATTGCATAAATTGAGCCAGAATATGCACACAATAACTTAACTTAGGACGAGTCAAAGTTTAGTATATCAATTTACCAATGACCCGCCTATAATGATCTGGGTGAGGAAAAATCTGGATGACTTTGAGAAACTGCCAACTTGTGATTTTGCTCCATAGGAAAGTCTATAGGTTTACTCCCAATCAAGCCTAGCTCCTCCAAAAGATACAAAGTGTATTTTCGCTGACACAGAAAAATTCCAGTGAGACTACGAGCAACCTCTAAACCCAAAAAATACTTGAGCCGTCCAAGATCCTTGGTAGGAAAACAGCGTGCAAGATAGCTCTTAATAGATATAATAAGAGAGTGATTATTTCCAGCAATAAGTAAATCATCCTCATAAACAAGAATGCAAACAAAATTCTCCCTTTTCGTTGGAGTAAATAAAGAATATAATTGGCATAAGAACGAGTGAAGCCATAAGACAATAAAGAAGTACTCAGTCGAGAAAACCAACATCTTGGTGATTGGCGTAGCCCATACAAGGAACGCTCTAACGGCAAAAATGCATTGTCCACATCCATTTGATGGAGTTCCCAATTTTTGGAGGCCACTATAGCAAGAAGAGTTCTCACGGTCGTCATTTTGGCAACCGACACAAAGGTTTAATGATAATCCATACCCTCAACTTGACGGTTTCCACACACCACAAGTTGAGCTTTAAAACGTTCAATAAGAAAAAATTCCACTTTTGGTCCTCCGAGTTATGCACCAATTCCACATTTAGTCCTCATCTTTTACTTTATCCATTTTTGGTACCTGACTATTGTTTTCTTGACCATATATAGTCCTTTTTCAATAGTAAAAATGTCCAGAGATGGACCAAAAATGGTCGGAAAAACAATAGTCAGGTACCAAAAATGGATGAAGTGAAAGATGAGGACTAAATGTGGAATTGGTGCAAAACTCAGAGGACCAAAAGTGGAATTTTTTCGTTCAATAATGCCGTCATTATTATATTTAATTTTCTAAACCCACTTACACTGAAATAATGAATGGGTTTCTTGTGTCTGGGTAAATCAGCCATCGTCCACGTCCCATTTGCTTCCAAAGCATCTCTCTCACGTCGCATGGCTTCCCGCCAACGTGAATCACGAACCGCATCTTGATAGGATATAGACTCCTTTTCCTGTGAAAGTGCTGCAAGAAAAGTTTGATGGTGTACCAAGTAAGCGTCATAATTAACATAACAAGCTAAGAGATACGGAGTACCTGAAGACACGGATGGAGAGGTGAAATTGTGTGGGTCTATTTTTGCCGCATAACACTACACGTAGTCTTGGAGTCTGCAGACTCATGGCATTTTACGTCGTAGACCACGTCCCAGTGGCGAGGAAGTGTTGGCTGGAACATGATTTGATCTATTTTGGGTATTTGGTATAGGTGCATGGACACCTGGCACTATGGCACCCCTCTTTTCAGCAAAAGTATTCTCTGGAGCAACTTCTTTGTCGTAGCCCGACATGCGTGAATGTGAGCATGTGGCACACTGATCATAGGCTTACGTCTATAAGGAGTGCTGATTAGCCCGAAATCAGCCTCATCTTCTTCATGAATATAGGGCCGAAAATATGTCCCATCTCCATTACTGTTGTTACTACTTAAGTCAGCAGCATGTAAATCAGCATATGGAAAGACTTGCTGCTCAAAAGGGACATCACATGAAACAAATTATTTTTGAGTTTCAATGTCCAAAACTTTCGAGTCCCGTTGAGTATAAGAATACCCCCAAAAAGAGACACTTCTTTCCCCGATTTTAAAATTTATTTGTGGTTGTAAAACGTACATAGCATAGATATCCAAAAACTTTAATATGATCATAAGACAATGTCTTACCATATACAAGCTCAAACGGGGTTTTCCATCATTTATCAAGGATGGGGTCCAGTTGATTAAATAGCAATCAATCAAAATACACTCTCTCCAAAACCAAATAGGAAGATTCACCTGAAATCACAAAGCCCGAGCCACATTCAAAATATGTCGTTGTTTTCTTTCAACCCGACCATTTTGTTGGGGTGTCCGAACACATGACGTTTGGAATAAAATACCATGGTCATAGAAATATGTTCTTAAAGGAAACAACTCGGTTCCATTATCTGCTCTTACAATTTTAATAGAGGTTCCAAATTGATTTTTGACCATAGCAAAAAAACGTTCCATTATCATCGGTACCTCCATTTTTCGTGTCATCAGATTAACCCACATTGTCTGGGAGTAATCATTCACAATTGTCAAAAAATAAAATGCACCACATGCACTAGGTTCTCAGTATGGTCCTCAAACATCACAAAGGATAAGTTCAAAAATATCCAAAGCACGACTCAAATTAGGAATAAATGTTTCATGAGTCTGTTTAGCTCTCACAAATTTCACAACTCACACTAACATTATTTTCAACTTATTCTCACTAACATAAAGTAATCTTATCACCCGTTGTGAAGGATGACCCATTCTTCTATACCACAATTGCTCTTTACTCTCCATTTTGACATGTGATACTCGAACCGGTTCAACTCTGCAGAGATAATAGATCCCACCACCACGCTCACCCACTCCAATCAGCGTCTTCAAAGATAGGTCTTGTATCACACAAAACTTGTTAGTAAAAATAACACGACACGGTAGATCATCAATAAGGCGCCCAATAGAAATAAGGTGACATGTCAAGTTCGGAACAAGAAGTACTCTTTCAAGAGTTACTCCCATTGCTATCTCCACTCTCCCGACATGACTAGCAAACATAACGTTTCCGTTATGAAGTGTAACAGGTATAGGGCTCACTGAAGATATATCAATCATTATATTTTTATCTCCCGTCATATGATATGACACTCCTATGTCAAAAAACCAATTTAAATGTGTCATATCAAGCATACCTGCTAATTTATCAACACCTTCACATGTGTTATATTTTTTTTTCCAGAAATTCCATAAAGAAATTTCACTGATTTCCCATGAGAGTAGGGAAATCCTTAGGAAAATCCTTAAGGTCCACCACTTCTTTAGTTGTGCCCATACCATGTCCAGCCACTGCATTTGCTTGTGCTCCAGGACTGCGGTTAATCTCCTTTCCCGAGCCTCGTGTACGTTCTTTGCCTCACCCAGTTTTGCTCTCATGCCACCATTCAGGGTACTCCCCTTTAATTTAAAGCAGCGTTCACGCTCATGTCCTTCTTTCTTGCAATAGGGGCAAATTAATTTGGCTTTATCTTTCCTGTCCTGAAAGCCCAAATGTCCTCCAGACCTTGTAGCAGCAGCAGTAACTTCTCTAGCATCGCGATTCCACTGTCCTCTAGGCCTCATAGCAAAGGCATCAACTTCTCGAGCATCTTGATTCCTTGTCACTTTCTGGTGCCTTTCTTCTTGCAAGAGCACGTTGTATACTCTGCTAAGACTAGGGAGATCATCCATACTTAGGATATTAGATCTCAAACCTCCGTAAGTTTCTCCATCAAGTCCCATAAAAAACTCATGCACCTTTTCCTTTTCCACTCTCTAGAAATTCCTTTTCAATATTATATGTACAACCTCCACATTTGCACTTTGGTATTTTTCTATAACCATCATAGCCATCCCAAATTTATTTGAGTTGCCCAAAATACGTTGTCACACTTTCTCCACCTTGTTTATAATTCTGCAAAGCCTATTTTAATTCGATCATGAAAACGCATGACATCTCTGGCTTGAAAGCGCAACTCCAAATCCTTCCATAGTTCATGGACAGAATCCATGTAAGTGATTGTCGGCCTAACCTTAGGATCAATTGACGTGATAATCCATCCCACCGCCATAGAGTTCATGGTGTATCAGTCTTCGATCACATTTTTGTCTTTTGGGATCTTAATCGATCCATCAAGGAATTCCTGCTTTTGTTTTGCCCGAAACGCATTCCGCATGGCTACGAACCATTCACGAAAATTTTGTTCACCACGAAGCACGACACCGCAGATGTTCCCTTCGGGTATCTCAGAAGTATGCAAATAATACGGGGAAGAAGGACCATTTATCCTCCTCCGCTCATCCGTATTTTGTGTAGTCACCATCTTGAGAATCTTCAAAAATCCTTGTCAAAGCTTGTTTGTGTGGCTCTGATACCATAAAGAAACAAGTATTATATTGTGAATAAAATAAAGGAAGAAAGAATTGATTTAAGAGAAGCAATACTTTTCTATCTCATTCACGAAGAAGATGCGTGAATATATACAATTGTGTGTCAATCTGAGAAAGGCAATTATTTTTCCTATTTATTCTCTAAACCATAAATACATTAGATAAAATAGGAATTGATATATATACAATAAATATAATGTATCCTAAAAATATAGGTGAATATTCGTGTGTGTGTGTGTGTATGTATGTATATATATATATATATATATATATATATATATATATATATATATATATATATATATATATATATATATATATATATATATATATGCACGTATGTTCTCAGCCTAAGAACACTTCTCACATGATCCGCTCCTTATATGGGTGTGAGTGTGTGTGTAGTACTACATATAATATACATAGTATATATATTTAGCATATATTTAACAAATTAATTACTTACCACACTCTCGTTGGTTCGTGACTTCAGTAACTGCTCCTCTCGCCATTCAAAATAGTTCAGTTTCAGGTCTGTATGGAGCAACAAGGCACATAGTCTAATACTGAGAAGGATCAAACGGTCCTGATTTTGAAAGCACCGGCCCGAGTATTATTTCACCCCTGCATTGTACCATTTCTGAAAATTCTTCTGGAGTCAAGTCTGAAAACTGGTAAAGTCCTACAGAGTGAGAATGGTTCCCGGCGTTGAATGACTCAATGAACTGAAGATTCTGGCGGAAGATGTTCAACCACCTAGCCTTCTTCATCTCATTTTTGTAGGAGCGACCATGAACAAACATCCACCTCTTATAGGCCTCTACGATGGAGGGAGGAACATCAAGAGTAGGTGCAGCGGCGGTAGAACCGCTGAACAACAACAGTAGGTGACAGAGAATTACTGCCAATTCCATATATACTAGGTTTCTAGGATGATAATAAGGAGGATGTTAGAAGGAAGAATTTTGCTTGCTACTTCCTAGCGATATGCATGTAATGCAAGCTAAAGGGCTGATTTAAGTAGCTAGCTAGTTATTACGTGTCATGCCATGGTCAATGCTCATCATTCTAAAAATATTACCCTATCCTTGCGCGCTATATCAAGTTTAAACTATTTATGGGCCTTGGGTGCATGTTACCTCGGTAATGTTACGTACAACTTGGATGTGTTCGTTGTAACTAGTTTTTTGACTTTTATCTCTATTGGCTTTTTTGTGGAACATTATAAACTAATGTACATATATATTATACTAATAGTAATACGAGTACTACGTATAACAACGTCAAAAGACATTTTTGTATTTAGTCCCTCTATATATCACTCATTTTTCTTTATTTATTATTTTTCACCTGCAATTGCATACTCCAACTTTGATTCGAAAAATGGAAAAATTATTACTTCTACAATTTTGGAAGCCAAAATAAAATACTACACCATCCCTTACATCTTTTCCCTTTTCAAGTTTAGATCATGATTTTGATTAGTATAATATTTCAGAAGTTATAAATTTTATACTTTTATGAAGTACTTTTAACCATGATTTTAAATCGCGTTTGCGGTGGCGGTGGCGGTTGCGGTTGCGGCGATTGTGGTCATTTGATTTTGGATACATAGAGATTTGAGCATCCAGTGTTGAATTCTCACACCGGAAACTTGTGAGGGAATTAAGTGTTATATTAAAATCTGGATTACTCCTCCTATTAGGTCGACCTTTTAGGATGGAACCCTAGATCTTCACATGGTATCAGAGCTAAATCAATCCATGGTGTGGGCCCCTGTGAAAAAATAAAGACACAATTATTTTTAAAAAATGACAATGACGAAGTGATAAAAAAATGAATGATGGCACGTCTAGACGAAGTGTCTGGTTGTGAGGAGGGGTGTTGAATTCCCGCACCAGAAACTTGTGAGGGAATTAAGTGCTATATTAGGATCTGAGTTACTCCTCCTATCAGGTTGACCTTTTAGGATGAAATCTCATATATTAACAAGTAAGTACTCCAATATCTCGAGAACTGCAATCAACACCTACTAAAGTACTTCGCATTAAAAATTCAATACTCCTCTTGTACTTTTCAATTGTTCAAGCAACAAACCCAAATCTTCAGTACTACGCCTCTGAACTTTTCAATTTCGAGCAACAAAGCGATAGACACCCTCACTTCTATAACGATGTCGGTGAGCAAGTGTTGGAAGCAGGTGGCCAGATAAGCACCCACTGCGATAACGACGCCGGAGATGCAGTGCCGTTGCAGCTGATTGCGGTCAGTTGCGGGCGGATGCGGTGCGATGCAGCCCCGTTGCGCCCCTATCACGGTTTTGTTGTGGAGTTGGCCCGTGATTCGGATTCTCAGCGCTATAGCAGCCTGATGTGGTTGCGCCACTGCCCGCGACCGCAATATTGAGGCCGCATCAAAAGTTGTGGGCCGTTATTTTGAACCATGCTTTAAACAAAGAATAGTTTATAGGGAAAACTGTCAAACAGGTCATCGAACTTTCATAAAAAGTCAAATAAGTCCTTATATAGGAGGTTCTGTCCGGCCATCACGATTTGGGACGGTTCCCGGTGGAATTTTTTGATGAAAATGTTTGAGCATCTTATTCATCAAGTTTAGTTTACTCATACCAAATTTCAGCTAAAACTTCAATCGGAAACGCATGCAAATTAATTCTTGAAGATAACTACTCATTTAACTGCACAGTTATCTTCAAGAATTAATTTGAATGCGTTCCCGATTGAAGTTTTAGCTGAAATTTGGTATGAGTAAACTAGACTTGATGAATAAGATGTTAAAAAAAATCATCAAAAAGTTCCACCGGGAACCGCCCCAAATTGCGATGGCCGGACAGAGTCTCCTATATAAGGACTTATTTGACTTTTTTATGAAAGTTCGAGGACCTATTTGACATTTTTCCCTAGTTTGTATCATTTTTATATTATAAATAACTAGCTATAAAAATATATAATTGGTCAAAATTGATCTTGATTGATCAAAAAAATTAAAAGATGACAAATTTTTAAGGGTGGATCGAAGGGAATATGACTAATTTTCATGTTTTTTTGAAAATGTGTTTTACCTTTGTTTAATGGGGAATTTTGAGTTTGCACCCCACTTTTTGGCTGATATTGGACTTTGCACCCTATTTTCAAAACTCTAAGACTTTGCACCCTATCTACAACATTTTGTGAAGAAAATTAATGAATGGGGTGCAAAGGCGAATACATTTTAGAGGAAATAGGGTGCAAAGCCTAAGAGTTTTGAGAATGAGGTGCAAACTCCAATATAACCCACAAAGCAGGGTGCAAAGTCAAAAATTACATGTTTAATTCTTATTCTTACCTAACTATTCATGTATCACATTCCCACTTTTCCCTTCAACAAAATTTGCAGGCGTCGTCGTAAGTCCTCAAACCAGACTTAGAGTCAATCAACTTCAAAAAGCAATATGACTCATTGATATTATAATGGACAAATGAGCCCACGACGGTTAAAGCACACCTCTCATCATTCAATTCTAGTGCAAGAGTCTTACAATAATAAAAGTAACCCACACAAAAATAAATAGTCTAATCATGAAAAATAAATAGTAAAGCAAACGGTAAAATTGAAATGCTACTTCCAAACCCTAAACTCTCTTGCACTTCATGGCGGTGACTCAGGAGGGGGACGATCCAGCAGTATTGTAGCTGCTTCCTCTATAATGTTCTCTACCAAACCTCCTCTATCACCACCTATCACAAATTCGGTGGGGCCTTTCCCAATGTTAATCTCTAACAGGAATCACCTTCCGGCCGAGCTCGTTTGGGGCCTTTCCCGAAGTAAATTTTTTATGAAATATTTTAAGCATGTTATTCATCAAATCTAGTTTACTCATACCAAAGTTCAGCTAACATCGGGAAGGCAGTCAAATAAAATACTTAAGAGACTGCACAGTAAATATATATAAACAGTGTCGTATTTTTCAGAAAATCATTTGACTGTCTTCCCGATTAAATATTTAGTTGAAATTTGGTATGGGTAAACTAGCCTTGATGAAGAACATGCTCAAAACATTTCATCAAAATATTCCACCGTAAAGGCCCTCAAACGGGTTTGGCCGGACGGCTGTCTCGATCAGGCTAGCCTGACATGAAGATTCATCTTTGTGTGTGTGTGTGGGGGGGGGGGGGGTAGAATATACGATAAGAGTGTGGGTGTCTTAAGTATTAATTTCTCGAAGGCAACAACCTTGGTCTGGTGACCAGTGCAACTGTGCTCCTCCACAAAATTAAGCATTTACATAGATGTTCTAAAGTTGTTTATCTACTATTTTGTTTTTTATTCTGTCTCTAAGAACGAGAGCTTCTCTCTAGGGTGGGTTTCCGCCGCTAGGGGTTTTTCCTCCGTATTGTTTGTAACGAGGAGCGGCCGCCGTAAGTGGACTTAGGCGCACATGGTCTCTTCTTCCACCATCAATTGTGCGGCTATTTTTCTTTTTTTACTTTGGCAAGCTTAAACGGAGGAAGAGAATGCTTGGTCTCCAGCGGCCGAAGGTTGTGCAGGGACGGAAGAAAAATGCTATGTCTCTGGTGGTCAAAGGTCGTGGACGAAGCGTGAAGCTAGAGGTTAGAACAGATCTGGATTTGAAGTCATTCGTGATAGGTGGTGATAGAGGAGGTTTGGTAGTGAACATGATAGAGGAAGCAGCTACAGTACTGCTGGATCGTCCCCCTCCTGAGCCACCGCCATGGAGTGCAGGAGAGTTTGGGGTTTGGAAGTAGCATTTTAATTTTACTGTTTGCTTTACTATTTATTTTTCATGATCATACTGTTTATTTTTGTGTGGGTTACTTTTATTGTTGTAAGATTCTTGCACTAGGATTGAGTGATGAGAGGTCTGCTTTAACCGTCGTGGGCTTATTTGCCCATTATAGGATCAACACGTCATATTGCTTTTTGAAGTTGATTGATTCTAAGTCTGGTTTGAGGACGGTAATTGTTTGTGGTCCTTTTATCATATATTATCTTATGTGCACAAATATTCATGTTCGAAAAATCCGAACAGGATTACCGTCCGACCACATCATTTTGAGATGGTTTAGGAGGAATTTTTTGATAAAATTTTATAATCATGTTCTTTCATGAGGTGTAGATTATGCCCACCCAATTTTAGCTAAAACTTCAATCGAGAAATCAGTTAAATAAACTTTTTAGAAACAATTGTTTTTTATACATATTTTTGCACAATCATTTCCAAAGGTTTATTTAACCGTCTTTCCGATAAATTTCAAAATTTCATCAATAAATTTCAGCTGGAATCACCTCAAAATGATGTGGCCGGACGATAGTCTTGTTTGGAATCACCTCAGTCCAAAATGCAGCTTCAATCCAAAAAAAAAGTTCACATAGAGATTCGTATACGCTCACCTAGTCACCTCCCCTATTTCTTTTTGAGTCCTTTCCTATCTCAGACCCATCAAACTTGTTATCATCTCTTTTATAGTACTGCCTCTGTCCCAACTGACTTTGCACTCTTTCAATAAGGTGAGACATAAAAATAAAATAAAAAATTGTGTGATTGAAATTTATGCAGAAAAGACAGAAATGAGAAGAACCAGAAAATAGTTACTTTAATGGAAAAGTGACAAAGTTTTTTGGGACAACAAAAAAGAAAAGTTGGCAAAATTCAATTCACAATTGAAGTAGAATAGACACATTTTATTCTCCCTAACAGAGGAACATTAATTTGCCTGTCACAGACAAATATTAAACACCCATGATTCCATCTAATTTCATGATTATAATAAAGAATTGCAACTAAAAAC